TATAAGACATGACAAAAAAAAAACAGTTTGCATCAATAGCACCATCCTGTATGCACCTGATTCATCAAATGGTATAGACTCTTGCATCATTAGACCTTAACTATTTTAACCAGTATACTTAATACTGCATAATTATTTTCTTGCCCCTGACCACCCCTGCCATGCGAAACCTCAATTTTCCTCCAGGGAAAAACAAAGACCTGTTGAATGGCCAAACTTTTTTTCATTTTCTTTTAATAAGCTGAAATTACTGCACTTTGCAAAAGGAGAAGACAAATTTGACAGTAAGCTTTGGGTTTTCAAGCATAAAGAAATTCCATTATCAAAGGTTACAGAGTTCTCATACGGTACCTTTGTTGGTCCTGATGCATTGCCCTTGTAAACTTCTTTACTAATTGAATGCTCCAAAATTTTCTTCGCCCATTCAGGAGGATTTTTTTCCAACGCATCATAAACACACTTTCTGATTCTTGTTCCCACATTTGTTGGCAGCTTTCTTACAGGTAATAACTTCTGTGCCCACTCTGGAATGTTATCATCATTCACAATATTCTTTTCACAAGAACCAGTTACATCAGAAGAACATTCCTCTTCTATGGTGAGAACATCATTTTCTGCATTCAAAGCACCCAAAATTCGCTTTGTAGCCTCCGCAAGCATCTGACAATCAGGAGAATTAAAATATCAACATAAAACATTTTGAGTTAGCCATCTGTAAAGAAAGATTGCATTAAAGGAGAATAAAAGCACCAAGAGCCAGACTTACATGAGCATCTGCTTCTATCCCAGCTACTCCAGTCCGTGAACCACAGAGCACTCCACCATCACCTTGTAAGCAACGAAACACTTTACTACTTTCACGAGCAGTAACCTCTGCTGAGTCAAGATTACAATCCATGGATAAGACAGCCAAAACATATCTTCGAGCTAATTCAGGCCAAGTCAATTCATTAACAGGTAGCTTGCTGAGCTTAATTCTTTTAGCAGAAATTGAACCATCTGAATCTTTCTTTCTTCCCCGTTTTGATCTTGACTCTCCAGAATCAAAATTGGGATCAACAAGTGCAGCAACTTTTGATTGCAACTCACTTATTAGCACCACTAGCAATGAGATGTGAGCCTTAGTCAAAGCCACACCAAAATGCTTACTGTAAGAAAGAGATGCAAATTTAGCACCTACAGCTTCCTTTATTGCTTCTGTTTCCATATCTGTAAGTGGATGTGAGTGCTCCTCACAAGCTGGCAGAGAATATTCATTGCTTGAGGACACTTGTCCACTGATATGATCCATTTTTTGTGAAGTCAAGATTTCATTTTCTTGGATCTTTCTCTCCACTTTATTGAGAAAACTTGAATGACTAAACCATGGATTGATAAGCTGCTCTTCAAGTTCCTCTGCGACAAAAGGCTCTTTAAGACCCAATATTTCATGAAAACGCCATAATAACTCCCACACCTGAGTAGGATAAACATAAATGATGTAAGTCTTCATTCCTAGAGGGGAAAAAAAAACTTGTATGCATTGGTCTATGCCTTCCGATGGATTTTAGTAACTTGAAGAAACAGAAACATACCTGATGGAAGTCACCAACAAGTCCAGGAGGAAGTCTCAAGAATGATGGCTTTCCTGGAGGGGGGCCACGGTCATGAACCAGCTTGGGCTTTTTGGATCTGTGAAGCAACCCATCTGATCCCTTTTCTTCCTTGCAATCTAGTCCAGCTTTTGTTTCAACCATCAGGAGTCCACTTCCAACAGTTAAAGATGTGGAATAAGAACTTCTTTTCTTGAGAAATTCATACTTTGAACAGGCATCAACACCAGGAAGCATTTCAATGATTTCCTGCACAAATTCTGCATCCAGTCCAAATCTATCCTGGCCCAGCCATTCAGTCAGTTTACCAGCTAAAATTTCAAGTTCATCAGACTGATGCTGGGATTGGATAGTGAGAGGGACCGGATAACTGCAAAATTTAGCTAATGAAACATAACCTTTGTTCTTCTCATTCATCAAATCCTGATTTATAGACCCCATTTCATTTGCACCATGCTTACAGAAAAACTTCAAAACACCTTTCTTTTTACATAATTCCAAGCAAGCATCAAATAATTTTTGAGACATAACTTTCCATGCTGAAGATGAAGAATGCTCTTCAACTGAAATTTCGCCAAGTTCATCAGTCAACCCCAGACTTGATTCAAAATGTGATCTATCAAATGAGTGCAAGTTGTAAGTTTCCTTGGACCCACTATCCAGACAAGTCGAAAGGTCATTTTCCATAGGTGGGCAAGGATCTGAAATGATCATTTGAATGTTCCCATCATTTTCACAGTCCCTATCATAACAAGTAATGTCAATACCATCTTCATTTATTTCGGAACGTTGACCAACAGGACAAACAAGGACAATTGACCCAGTTGGAATCGACATTGCCGAGCATGGACACCTTTTGACCTTGAAAATAGGTCCAAGGTCACCACCATCTAACACTTCACACATAAAAAGGGATCCAGTGATCTTATCATGCCAGCAAGACCTATACCCTATGGGATATATAAGGCTATTATCATGATAAGAGGGTCTCATATCAACTTGCCCCAATGTGAGAACGAAGAAATCTTCAAACTTCACAGGGAGCCCATTCTGAAAGAAAGAGTGAAAGCCAAAAAAGAATAGAAGTAAGTGAGCACGTACAAGAAAAATATAAATCACGGTACTCAATGGTATTTGATCACTTATTATACCATAAATCACTTATGTGTGGTCAACTCAACATATAAATCAGAGAAAAAGAACAAAAACCATATAGAACACCAAAAACTACAAAATAATAGGAAAACTTACATTAGTTTGCTCAGATGCAGAGCTAGCCTTTTCATCAGTCTCACCATCAGTGACTTTTATCATGGCAGATTTACACATAGATTTTTCCAGACCTTGAGTGCCACATGAGAACTCATTAGAATAGCCACTTGTCAAACTCTCATTATTTTCAGAAAAACCATTGGAAAATGAAAATCTTGTCGACTTCCTTTTTCTTTGTAGAGGCAACCTTTCCTGTGGACGAGCCCCTTCAACTTTAGCATTCATAGAGTTGTGCAGCCCAAGATAAGAAGCAACTTCAAACATTGAATCAAATGTCTTCCCATCTGGAGCACGATAAACTGCATATGGTTCATAGCCACTCAAGGACTGTTTCAATTCCACCCGCCAGCCCTCCTCCAGGACACCATGGCTTTCAGAAACTAATTCTCTAAGAGCTTGCAACAATTTATCACCAGGATTCCACGATGGAAATCTAATAGCTGCATTACTATTACCCCTAAGCTTTCCTAATTGGACCTCCAAATCTAACTCATTGAAACTTCTACTCATAGTCTGTGTATGATGAAATATCTCCTCAAAACCCATTTTGACACTGTGTGTTGCAGTGCTAGAAGCTTTATGAAAACCAAATCCATTTCCCGCGTACACAAGATTTGATAACGTCACTGGGGCACCACATCCGTTGCTAACAAAAGATTTATCGACTGGAGTGTGCTTTCTAGAACCAAATATAACATTACTGGCATTGGTAAATTTATCCAAAAAAACTAATTAATTAAGAAAAGAAATCAGAACACGAGTATAAGAAAAGGAACAGGTATCAATCAAAGCAATCAAACAGTCAAGTAAATAAACAATTCCAATTACACTAAATTCTTCACCTCATATGCAAACACAAATCAAATAACTTCCATTCAAGTTTATTAAGCTTGAGATTATTTAATTACTTTGTTTCCATAACTGAAGAGAGGAGGAATTTCCTAAGTCCTAAAAATAACAGCCATTGTATTACCAACCTCCAAATGCCCAGATTTTAACTCGTTAATGCCACAGTTACTTTAGCTCTAAAAGAAGCCTAACTGCCCTATTAACAATACATTGAAGCAACCAAACATGCAAACAAAGAAAAGGAACACCCTCACATACCTAAGCACTTCCTCGCTGCACTCTCCATCACCATCTCCATCACTCGGTGGAGACGCATTAATGTCGAGGATCCGCTTCTTCGCCTTCAACCCAAGCGGCCAGCGCTTACTCCTCTCCCCACGGCTGACGCACTCAGCACACACCCACTCCTGCGTCCACTGAAGCCCAGGAATCCCAGTACAAGCCAAATGGAATCCTCGTTCACAGCCGTCACACACCACAACCCGTCCAGCAGCGGCCGCTTCGGATCCACCGCAAGCGCCACACTCAGCTGGCTCCCCCGGAACCCTGGCAGGCTCTCCAGGCGCCGGGTCTGGGTTATCGTGGAAGGCGCGAACCACCTCTAATGAATCGGGCTCATCTGGTAGGGTTTCAGCGAAAGAGGAAGACGGGATCTCGTTGAGATCGATGCCGAGAGGAGAACGAGTCTCTGGCTTGGAATCGGAGGAATCGTTGAGTTCCATGAAAAAATTTATCCGAGTCGAGGGGTTTTCATAAAGAAACAGAAAAACAACATAAACATCGTTTGTTTTGAATGTGTTTGGATCGAAAGTTCAAGATTTTGACAGAAAACACAGACCCTTCAGCCCTTCCCCTTTTCTTTTTTCCTTTTCTCTCTTCTTTATTTCTTTTCTTTTTTTAATTTTCGTTTTTTTAAGTAATTTTGGGAAATAGAGAAACTTGGCATACTCGCCTCCTGATATCGACACGTGGCAAATCTAGAGGTCTGAGGAGTTTGAGTTTGGGGTGGCTTTTGCCATGAGAAGGTACAGAAAAAACGGACGCAAGAGTTTGCTCTCTTCTTGCAAACTCTCTACTAGAAGAAGCCACCGCGGTCAAACGGTTCAGGTGGACTTCCAATTCACGGTTTGACTTTTCAAACAGTTAGGTTGTGGTGATTTTATTTATTTTATTTTTCTGAACCAGAAAAAAGTTTGGGAAAGGAAGAAATGTTACAATTATCTTAATAAAGACTTAAGTCTTCGTACCAATTAAAGTGTTTAATATATATTGGCAACTCACAAGAAGTTACTAGTGCATATTATTATTATTTATATTGATTGTATAATAAAAAATAATATATTTTTATCTTTTATCATATTTTACTTATATATCATACTTTACTTATATATCATGCGACTTAAATTTATAATATTTTATTTTTTAACAAAAAAATATTATTATTAAATTATTTAAATAGTTGACAATACATATTATTTTAATAATTATTAAGATTTTAATATTAGATTTTTACATTT